TTATTCAGATAGCTACTCATGCGCCCTCCTGACAGGCGTGAATTTTTCCCAATTTTCCCAGAAGAAACTTTTAACCAATAACATGACTTCCTCGAACCCCTAAATGGTATAAAGTTGAACTAAACCCAATATAAATATATTTATTTGGCTTATGGAACCACCTGGAGTACAGAACCACACCACTTTATTATATGATATTCATACATTGGCACACTGCCGAACTAATTTCAGCCCTTCAACTCTTTACTTCGATATATATAAATTAAGAGCTTTCTAGGTTATACCACGGTGGTTACTAGGCTAGGTCAATTTATAGTTATAAAGCACATCTTTGGTCAAGCTCATCTAACCAACAGGTGAGATCACATGCGATGATCTCGACGGTCACAGAGCTTTTTTTCTTGATCACGTGACATGTTTTAGCCAATGAGTGCGGGTTGTCACCCATTGCAGCAGGTGCAAGCTCTGAAGTATAATAGTAGAGATGGCTCCAAGCCAACAATCAAGAACTTGCACCAGTAATCATTTTCATGGTTAATAACAGTCGGCTGCATCGGAATATTTTGACGAAGAATTTCACCATATTACGCCGGCAATAACAAGAATTCTTAGACATTTTTCGATAAAATTAGCCTGCTTTTCCGTTCGTCTGGTTAATAACGAGCTAAATATGTAAAAATTTCATAACCGTTTCTTGTATCAGGTATTTAGGCATATTATCATATTATGATTATGCTACTTCTAGACACAGCGCAGTAAAGAATGGCTAAATATATCCATTTCCAGGTGGGCGGTATAAATCAAACTGATTGTAGGGAGAAAACAACTGTTCTTCCCAGAAAGAGAGTTCATAATTCAGGGCTTATTGATACCATTGCCAGTGAACACTGTGGGTACTATAACTCGTGCGAAACCTTAACTATTTCAGGTAAAACCTCCAGGTGAACTCAAATATATGAAAAAATATTCAATTTTTACATCGTATGATGATAATTCGAGAGCCATATCAGATTAAAATAAAGAGCAGTTTCTTTTTAGAATTTCGAGCCGTTCAAATTTTAACTGCAGTATCGTATTAAAATGTAAAGTCGAGGGCAGTAGTCAGTATAATCTAGCTGTCAACTGCGTTAATCTTTTTTTGGCTGAGTGGTGCAATTGTTTTTGGTGTAAACCTTTTCTACACCCACGCAAACGAACCTACCAGGGTTCCATTCCCAGACCAGGATTAACTTGATCTCATATACCCAGAGAGATAATAATAAACCAGAGAGAGAATGGTTCAGTTTCGGCTTTCGAGTTCTAATGGTTCTCCTCCTGTAGCCGACCTGTAAAGATGAACAACATGGCTTAGAGTCAATCCTCCTGGCTGAATAACAATAGCCTCGCCATTTGTCCAATTCATAATTAGTAATCATAAAACAGGACAGAAGTGAAAGTTTTGCTCCAATTTCGCTTTTGCATCGCCTGGCAGCGGTCCAACAAACCACATCACTGCACAACCTCAGTCTTTGTAAGTTAAATTAGCCACAATTATCATACTTTCAACAATCTGTAACTAGTTACAACTCATACAACAGTCGTCATTAAATTTGCACAATCTCAATGAGGACGAGATGCAGACTGCAGACTGCAGAGGATCAAAGTTTCGCTTTCGAGCCTATCTCTTTAGTAATAGTGATGTCAGGGGATAAGACTAAGTAAAGAAACATAGTGATCTTTAGTAATTTTGTATCTCCATGTCGCTCTGTAGGGGACCTGTGGAGGAGCCGATCCTACAAAACTAAACAAAATAACCTCCATGCGGCAAAGATTGACAAATATTCAACTATAATATTGTCACATGTATCAAGATCTTCATTGGTCTGGACCTGTTCATTGGGACTATCATCACTGGTCTGACTAAGTTTATTGGTCCTGCCAAGTCGCTATTATATCGGTACAACCTCAATGAGGAACAAGTGCAGATGATCTAAGTTTCTCTTTGGAGCCTCAGGCCCATCCCAGACGAGGGTGGCAGGGTGCTATGGTAGGCAAATATGAATTTATAATAATGGGTGTCAAGATCTTCATTGTTCTGGACCCGTTTATTGGGACTATCATCACTGGTTTTATCATGTTAAGGAAGAAATGCAGAGGATCTAAATTTCCCTATACTATGGAGCCTAACTCTTTTAGTAGTAACAATGTGAATTTCGGGGAAAGAGATTAAGAAACTTCATCTTTTCCAATCTCGTATCCCTATGCGGCACTGTTCATTGGGACTATCACCAGAGCTCTGACCAAGTTTATTGGTCTCGGCAACTCGTGATCTCGCCATTATATGTGTACTACGCAGTACACATTATATGTGTACACATTATATGTGTACTACACATTATATGTGTACACATTATATGTGTACTACGCAGTACACAGGATGAAGGATCTGATTTCGCTTTCGAGCCTGTCTCTCTAACTAATAGTAATGTCAGAGATGCAGACTAACGTAATTCTCTTTTGTATTCATGACCTCCATGCGGCAAAGATTGGCAAATATCCAATGTTCATGTGCGTCAGGATTAGTGAACTCGGAAGGGAGGAGTTTCTTCTTCTTGGATTATAACGGTACGTCAGACGTATTAGCTTTGAAATTAACAGAAGAACTAGGGCTAGAGAGTGGAGGAAGTCATCTAACTAAACATCGTGACGGCAAATTATTGCTTGTATTTAAACCCTCCGTAATAACTTACGCAGTAATGTTTAACCAAGCGATTCTCGCCAACTTTCTCACAGACTCTCCCACTTTCGAGTTATTAAAACTCGAAAACGCGTCATGATGACATCGAGGAATGTAAAGCTGTTATATTAAGTGTTAAAATGACAAATTAACCGTGCATGACGCAACATATAGCGAAAATTCTAAAATTCCAGGTGACACTTCTGAGTAGTGAGTATACCACAGATATTACATGCTGAACGTCATAGATCGAACCATGTTAAACTGTGAACAGCTCGAACTGGATTCTGACAATAAATCGATCACTACCAGCTGATTGCTTAGGTTATGTACATGAATTAAACATTTGAAGGCTGAAGAGGCTAAAGGTTAAAAGTCTCGTGGTTTTACCGTACATTTCTTAGTCTTCCTCAGTTATTTGTGGCTATAAATAATATGTTGACGGTGTTTATAAAACCTTTATTAATTGTTTACTAAAACTGGCCATGTTAATTGAGGCTATTATAACCTGTCCATTGTCCAGCCCTCTTTTTTGTTTAATAGTATAATCCACACTATCCAGCCCCTACAACCTGTTTATTAGGACGGTTCCCAAGTCTATACCCACCCATTACGCCACACAATGAACCCCACACATTGCACAATATATACCGCCGCCTCCCCCTCCCCAATGACCTGCACATCACTCTGCAGCGTCGTCACCTGCAGCACACTCTCCTTGTTGTTGCACAATGGTACCCCGTACTAATAATACCATCTATAGTGGTAAATCGTAATAATAGAACCAACCACTCCCTCTATATTAGACAGATAGAGGGCTTACCTAAGCACGTGATGAATTTGCCTGCGTCATTCATTGCGTAATATTATATAGTGTGGACCAAGTTTAAACCTCGTACACATCAAACATATTACTAAGATAGAACCGTTTAAACCGGGTCCATGGTTGATGGTAAACCTTAGACAATTTACAACCATGGTTAAATTTGGGTTCGGGGTATTAATAAGGTCAGTATTTGGGCTTGAATTAATTTTTGAAACTATACGTGGAAATTGTGCAATCTCTTACAAAGCTTGTGCACAGATGGTCGCATATTGACGATGGTCGCATATTGACGATATTTACGTAATTTATGATATCTATCTCATCAAAATTTACACACATATTAAATGGATTACATTGTATGATATCTTATCTCTATGTTTAACATCGAATTTAATACATAATTTAATAACATAATAGATAGTATACCGAATATTATATCTATCATATCAAAATTGATGGAATCGTTGGATAGCACATTTATAATAAAATATAAGATCTGACATTGATAATTTCGCTGAATATATTTAATGACGTCATAGCTTCTAGACTGTTCTTAGTAATAACAATGAGGAGGCAGAGCATTACTTCAGAGAGAGAGACAGATGGTGGAGGTCCAAATATCATTCAAAACATGTTCTGCGCGTGTCACTAACTCCAAGTCATAATTATATTTATATTATGCAAGATTTTAAAGAATAATACTGAATACTTAGAATATCTAGAATAGTTTTAGGATTTCTCGAATTTTTCATCCTCATCCCGAGACAGGAGTGGTTTGTTTTGTTCGACCAACTCCAGCTCCCGGGATAAACTTTGCTAAAAATTAAAAGCGCATGACCCCACGATCCATGGTTGATAAACAGTTATGCCGTGATCTTAACCTGCTCTCAATCACATGATTTTATTCTCGTGAGAGCTAAACAATTAGATCTGTGGAGAGTGTATGGCACTTAATTAGCTTTAAATATTCGGCGTAGAGTCATGAGCGGGGTTACGTAATCCGGAGAAAGAGTCGTGTATCTTCTTAGTACATAGTGATTAGGGTGGTTAGAGAGAGGCAATTAAAGAGTTAGACCGGAAGAAATATTTAAAGTTGAGGAAAGATCCAGAGTTGAGGAATGATTTAAAGTGGAGGAAATATTCTTTTTGGAAGAATGTTGAGACTTGAGGCTGTTAATATTGAGGTGAAGTATAGTTACGTAACAGCGTTTGAACAAATTCTGAACTGATGAGGTGGTGGTAACGGCACTATGAGGTGGTGGTAAAGGCACTATTTAAGTGATTAGACGATTAAAAAGTAAGAAAAAGGACGCCGATCATAAAGTTAATAAGGGTAAACACTATACAGCAACTAATGAGCCTTTAAGCGTCTCAAATTGGATATTAATGAGTACTCAGCGCACTTCTCTAAATTTAATTGATTTGTGCTCTTCCGAAACAAGATGTCAACTAACTTACCCGACAAAAATGTCTGGACTTTTCTGTGCCGCTCGTAGTCAATAGTCCTTGTGAGGGAATCAATCTGTTCGATCAACAGAGTCTTCAACAACCTGAAAGGCAGCTTTCTAAAAAATATTTCTAAGAAAAAATATTCTTCCTGTTATGTGATTCATAATCACATGATTCATTCGATCATTTTGCCGATCATCTTGTCCATAAGCCATGTGAGATTGGCAATTATGTCTATTTACAAGAACTATGATACATCGTGAGGATGATTCTAATACGAGGAGATAATTAGTACAAAATGACGAGATAATTAGTACAAAATGACGAGATAATTAGTACAGAATGACTAGATAACTATTAACTAGTATTAGGAGATAATTAGGACATAATGACGAGATAACTATGACCTTGAAGAGTAATTTTCACATTTTAGGTGTCAAATTGTTAAATCTTCAAATTCCATCCTGCATATACCTATTTTATTACCTATCACCTATGTATAATGTTTATGTATCGTCGTTTATGTATCGTCGGTTCAAATGATCGCTTCAAAGCTAGTATCTGATTCGTCGAAACGGTTTGAAGATTCTGTGAATGTATGAGAATTTTGGGATTTATCTGTGAATCTTGGGTAAATTTTATTATTCTAGTTGATGAACGAGAACAGGATCAGAAACAATGATATTATAGTCGCCTACTCATCATTAATTATTCCCAAAAAGGCATACTTATTTTAAGATTTAACACGTTCTAGACATTGGGTTTAATTTAGAATCCCAAATATACGATACAACGATCTTGCAAGTTTGGAGATGAATTTAATTCTAGTCATTAAGTCTGATTTGATTAACACCTATCATTGAATTCATATTATACCAAAGAAAATTCACTACAAGAAGTTAAACAAATAATCTGTGCCTCTAAAACTGAAATTGTTAAAAGTCCTCTTATCATTAGCCATCTCACCATAAGATTATGAAAATTTTTGCAGCAGCACGGCAACTGCACTAATCTCTGGGAATAAGGTTCATCAGAGCCCAGCCTATAATCTCATTAAATAATTCCATACCCCGAAGTTATAAAACCGAAACTGAACTTCCCAAGCGTGTGCTCATTGTTCTCTCGAGACTGTACTAGAACATAACCAATTCTCAAGGACTCTTAATTTTAACAACAGTGTGATGATGCTCGGGTCGGTGTTAAACAAGCCCCTCAGCGGCAAACAAACTCGCAACACCACCCGCTTCTCTCCAACATTTGTCCAGAAGTGTTAAAACCGGAGAAAGTAACGACTTACGGTTATTGTCGTTGAAACCCCGTCAAAATATGTCTCAATTTCACGCCATGTCCTAGACACAAGATCTAATATAACTCCCCGGTCGAGCAGCTTTTACCGCATTCTAAACGTCTAGAATATTTACTTGTATGAGACGGTATTGTTTACGTCTGCCGGGGTCAGTTGAAATCCAACATTGCGTCTACCGCTACCCAAAGACTCGAACTGTGACAGGTTCAATTTCCGCCTTAATATAGATGATTCATCTTCGCTCTCTCTTTTCAAAGCAAAGAATTGGTGCTGTTGGGCCTACCGGAAATTAATCCGTTTCCTGGGCAAGTCATACTCTTTACTGAGATGAGAGCACCAGAGTAGTTATTTTATTGCATTGAAGGTTGCGTTCAATAATTCCAAAGAAACACTCATTACTATCTGCAACAATAAGGTCGTTATCTAGATGTAGCATGGCCACCAGGAAATAAAGTCTTGTGTCCCTTATTAAAGAATGGTTGGAGTAGGGCCTACCGGAAATGAATGTGTTTCCTGAGCAAATTATGCTCTCCACTGAGATGAGAACAGTTAATGTTATGTTATTGCATTGAAGGTTGCATTCAACAAATCCATAGTATGAAGCATTCGCATAATTATCTGCAACAATAAGCCCGTTATCTATCTGACCCATGGTCCAGGAAATAAAACCTTGTTTCCCTTGTATCCTGGTTGAGTAGCTTGGCAGGAGGCCACACTCCAATAGGGCTTCATGTCAACAGGAGTGTTGCGACCTTGCAACCAACAGCCATGTCCCTGAGGGAACAAGTGCCGACATTGTCATAGTGAATGGAAATGGTTTAACATGACGGAAAAGAATGTCTCACCATTGTGGTTTCCTTGTGGTCCCGTTTCCGGTTTTCAGGGGACACGGAAATCCGGGAAGTATCTGTTCTAATCCCCCGATCTACGGACGTTATAATCTTGTAATCGTGAGCCTTCATTCCTGGAATTATGATTACAATAGCGTGACTGAGATTACGACAACAGCGCGGGATGTTTGTTGTGGAAATGGAGACAATTACTGGGTACTGGGGCATGTTTAACAGGTACGTATGTGTTAATCCCGAGTACACAACCCCGAGGTTGCTTGATGACCACCCCAGAAATTGCTCGACTACCTTGGTTACGTGAGGTAAGGCGGTGTTTTATAATGCTTTGCTTGTCTCACATCGTGTATAGTGAGTATACCCACTATTGTTTTCTCAGCAACGATTAGTGGAATTAATGTGACCCTGAATGAAGGAAGTCTGTTTCGATGAGGGAGATTGCAAGAAATCTTTAATTTTTCTGAGAAATGAGCAATAGGGTCTATATCATTCTTACACCCATTCCAGGTGTAGAGTGTATACACTAAATAATCATAATAAGGTAGAAAAGAACAAGCCCCCAAGATATTTTTCCATGGCTGTGAATTTTAATTAATTGGGTCGATCACTTAAATGGAAGAGTTAAGAGTAGTAACCCCAAGCATTAGGGCCGAAGCATTACATCATAACAGGGAGAGCACGTCTGGCAGGATTCCAAGACCACCAGGCAGGAAGTACCAAGTCCCAACAACCTGCCTATCACAGCTCAGAATTGGGGTCACGTGACTGTTTTCAACCAATGAAAAAGAGGAGGAAGTGGTACACGACCTCGTGACCTGTTGCCGCGCTTCTCCGCCTACGAGTATTATACTTCTTGGACATGAGCCAAGAATAATATAGCAATATAGATGTGCATGTGCGGTATTGGGACAGAAGAAGAAAGAGAGAGCACATGACCCCACATACAAGGCCTAGAGGCAAGGCCCATGGAGGACAATACCTAAGTACTTGCTGTAATTACAGATGATTATTCACGAAGACAATGTGACCACGTGAGACTTATGATGAGAAATCTGGACAGAATAAGCTTGATCATCAATATCGATTGCGGACTTTTTATTTTATTTTACTATTTGTACGGGAATGTAAAATGATATGATTTAAAGGAATCAGAAAGGGTGGAGCCAATTTCTCTATTTCAAGAAGAAACCAGGTGCTAAGAAAATGCAGCACCGTGACACATCAAAGCAGCGATCTATTTCCAACCTTGACTGTAACAATCTATTTATAGAACCATCAATCCTCAATACTATCGAGCAAAGTTGTCAAGCTCAGGGACGTCCTGTGACCCAGAACTTTGACATCAATCATACCTTCATACATTAATACCATTTACATTAGCCCCAACTATCTACATTTATACCAATTTCCAGACCCCTAAACCCTATAATCTTAAGCAAGAACTTAATCTTAATCACTAGAAATAGAGGAGACTAACGACTCCGAGGTATGAAGTAACCGGACAGAGGCTTTTAAGCGCACACGATATCCAAGATAATTCTAGATAAGAACTGAACTTGAGTGAGAACAAGAAATTAAATTTACTCTGTTTAAAATTTCACAGGGAAAGCTCTGACTCTAGATTTCACATTGCATATTTTCTGTAAGCCATTGAGTTTATAAGTGCGGATATAAAATACAAACGTCAAATTCCAATTTGTGTTCCATTTAGAATAACCGTTCGCTATTTAGTACCATTATATTATTAAATGACTGCTTGAAAAATTCTGATTCTGACTGATTTACGACTAGCCTAAATCCTCGTTTTCCTTCAAACGATTTATTTGGGTAACTCATCATATACAGGATTACATTTACAGGGTGTTCACGATACATTGGTTTTAAAACGGTTTTAAATGTCTATAAAAACATTTATGAAGGAGCATAAATAAATTTTCTGTACTTTTTTTAACTAACCAAGGTAGTCAGCGCTCAGCCCAAATAAATCATCTTTATTACAAAGTTCTTACAATAATAACCTAGCTTTGACCACAAACCAACCTGTAATGAAACTAGATCTTATATAATATGACGTAACCGTAATAACCGTTACATCCAGAGGAACAGTAATATTTTGAAGATCTTCAATGCAATCCGATCGCAATCAGCAATAGATTTCCCTTGGAGTGTTGCCAGCAAGCCCTCTGCTCAATCACGTTACAGTCCCATAAAAAAGACTCCAATTTGTTAGTCGGCAATTATACCATGTGTGTCGGTAACATAGCATCGCTTCTCACGGGGCTGCTAGATATATTATAAATTTGAGAGATATCGTTAGGGGAGGTCTTTGTCAAAAAAGATATCCAAAACCAGCCCGCGACCTCTACTACTGCGCCCCGTACATTATTAATATCACCCGGTGAGTTCTTGAGAACAGTCCCTTGATCCATCTCATTTGATTAAAGAATTACCTGACCTCGGAACTGCGACCGTCGGGGACCCTCGGGGGTAAACAATCGTGAGGGTATCATGCTCCAGTTATTCTTATTATGGTTCACTCATTATTACCCAAGCTCAAGGGGCAGAGGGTTGGAATTACCTCGATTTTCCTGGTGCCACGCGACACGGGCCGGTGAGCCCCTGAAACCAGCTTACGTTAATGGATATCTTGCTGGAAAATTTAGACATATGTACACACGGGGCAGACAACAAAGATACCTAAACCACATGGCTACCTCACGGTACCCTCCATATCTGACATTTCCTACCGCACGAGTCAGCTCCCTTTTCAGTTTTAAACTCACTGTGCAGATGCCAGATACCCTGACCTATAACATATAGGGGACACATACATTTACTGTATTTAGTGTACCCAGTGGACAGCAGCTTGAGCTGAGGCCATGTTCGGATTAAAGGCTACTAAGAAATATAGTAATATCAAGCGTCAAAGGCCAAACTTGGCGGTGCGTTTTAAACCATTTAAAAGTTAGAAGAGGCAAGGTGTCTGCCTTAATGAAGAAATATAACAGTTAATGCACCTGGTTGAAAGATCGAGGCATATAATATTCTCAAAAACTTATAAAATATCCAGAATTCTCTGCCGAAAATTGCAATTGACTTGTCTGAAAAGATGTCAAAGTCCAACATTCTTTAGTTGTGTTGAAGTAAGGGCTTTAAGGCTCAAACCTTTATCCCACCTGGTACCAGTCACCCGACAAGCTGAAACACATTTCAAATACTAATGGTTCTTGGTACTCTTGACGACTATCGTGCTTTCAGAAGCTTCTCTTAAAGCAAGATTGCGGACGTAGCCCCTTTGTAATTATTAATGGATGTTACGAAACTCAACCATTATACCTTCGACTCGACTGAACAGGATTTCAGTAAAACCTGAGCCTTAAAGACTTGTTCTGGGTAGACTGTTTGGGAGAGATAAAACAAGCTAACAGTACCAGCTAACTTCAATTTAACCTACACGTGGCACATGTGGTTTGTAAGTGTGATATTTAGTAAATGTTGTATTGTTCCATCAACACCCAATTAGAGGAGATGTGTGAGAGGGTGTGTGAAGGGCCGCCGTGTCAGACTCTTTGACGAACTTAACTACTTGACGTCATCAATTAGACAGAATTTAATAGTTGGTTTTCAAGGTAGTACCAGTGGCGTAACGAAAGGCCCTGCTGACCCCGCTGTGCAGGGGGGCGCCGTCTTAGGGGGGCGCCAAATCGTCGTTTGAATGTGGGACAATTTCGAAAACTTAACTAAAGTACTAGCAAAACTGCGCGTTTTGCTCAAGATAAACACTTTTTTAGAGATTTTACCGGAGTATTCTTTAAAATTACCTAATTTGTTCAATTTTAGGGAGGGGCACCAAAAGGGGAGGGGGCGCCAACAGGGGGGCGCATTTTTCGGCAGGGGGGCGCCAACAGGCAACGTTACGCCACTGGGTAGTACAGTGACGGTTTACTGTTTGTGAAGAGGACCCTTTCAATAGTTCATTTTTAGATGAAGGAGTCTGAGATAACGTGATAAAAATAGAAGAATCTGCAATTTCGTCATTTGATAAGTCATCCAATCATGTTCAATAAGCTGAAAATTTTCGATCAGCCAATGCCATCACACCTTGCACTTGCAAACCCTACAGAATACAAAGGGCTATTGCATTGATTGAAGCGAATCAGCGCACCCCTTTAGAGATTTTGAGAAAATATCATTTTGCTTTTCAAAATAAAACAGAAAAAAATACTCCTCATTCATTTGCCCAGGCCTCTAAAATGAAAATTAGTATCTGCGACGTTGGTGGCTCTAATGATCAATAAATATATTACTGTACGGGTGATTAAAACCTGAACTCCATCCAAGCGGAGAAAGTTTTTCTCTGCTCGAAATAATATATCTGAGACCGAACTAAGTGCTATTTATGGATGACCTAATATTAAACCTTCCTACCGGAGTAAGGGACACCGATGCCACACTAAATCCTGCACCTTGGCATCCCGCACGAAACTTGGTGTGGTAGTGGTGGAGGTCACGCCGAACCTGTGAAACTCTAACCACCATCCACGCCACGACGTGGTTACTCCACGCCTGGGGTATAGGTTTATGTTTATTCTACGTGGAGTGGCTTGGTAGTTTAACTTATGGAACAGGTGGGTGGAGGGTTCAGAATCACCATAACTCTTCCTGTGAGGCTACAACTGCACATGTGACATGTCAGTCCCAATGTGCGTGACTGCAAAGTGCTCAGCCGGGCTATTTCATGAGTTATGGCTCATGATCTTTGGTTATTTTGGGCAAATTATCCAATTTCTGAAATCTGAGCTAACTATAATATATCAAAACTTTGAGCTGACGTCATTTTAAATCACTTAAAATATTTCGGAAGTGTGTGTGTGACGTCTGTGTGTGTGACCATTCTGACCTTTTAAAAAAGTTATAGCCGAAAGTGGGAGTAAACTTTTAGCTCCTATTAAAGTGACACTCAGTTAAAGGGTCCTGGGCAGAAAGTATAACTTAATCTAAAGTTTGAGATGGTTATGGAGTTTACCCGACGTCAATCAGAGTAACACATTAAATTGATTTGCCAGGTGGGTCTAGCAACATGGCAGATTTATAGTATCAACTAAAAATAAACTAAGGGCGAACCGTCAAGATTTTATTTAATAAAATATGCGTTACCCATGATCCAGTCGGCCTCATCCAGTTGTGGAATATAGCCGTATGACTAGGTCCCGGTTTTTCCGTCCAGCTTTTTCAACAACTACCGAAAAATAATTTTGTGAACAGGAAACGTTTTGTATAGCTCATGCATGTTATACTGGCAATACTGTGCACGGAGTGGACTACACGGTGTGCACGGTATGCACTTACCTGATAGTCAACACATCTCTCCAACTTGATCTCAGAATGTACACTATAATATATAAACTACAGCTGTGTCTGATGCGTTCTAACAGACCTATAAAGTTGTTGATAGGACCATGAGTCCCTGAAGACAATGCTCTCTCGCACTGTCTGGGAGAGGAGCCTATAATTCCAGTCATTATGATCATTGGCACTGCGTCACAGTTATCACACCCTACTGACTACTGACTAACTCCTGTCATCAATCAAAGGAATTCTCAGATTCTCAGTAGCTTTGTTTTATAAAAAGTTGACGAAATGTTAGAGTTTATAGTCAATGACTGGCAATGTCAACACAGTCATGGAATATCGTGTTTAAAATCGTTAAATCCGTGAAACTGGCTGGCTGAACATCATCAGGAACCATCAAATATCTCGGGGGCTCTGCTGAATGCGGCTAGCCCCGAATATTGTAGGTGAAACCGGCTCTAGCAAGTCTGTTGAATGTGGCTAGTACCCCTAGCCCTCCTCAACCCTCCTCATCAAGATAATCATATTAAGATACGAAGCAGCTAAAAAGATGCGTTGACATTCATGCAGCAGCAGTGCGAGCCAACTGGACGAAAACATGATTCATTAGCAGGATAGCGAGAAATTTGACGGGTGATTACAAATCAGTTAAGCGCTAGGTTAGGTTTTACAAACCAAATTATGAAGTTTTGAGGGAAGTTTTATGGGTGTTTAGGTAAGGGAGTTCTATGACGTCATTTTCAGACTTAAACTAAACTACTTAACGTAAATTAAGTGATTGTTATTATGACAGGTATACAGGTGTATTCCAAATAAGGTAGATATTCTATTAATTAATAGAAGGAGTTCTGCCAAGTAACATTTTACAAACCAAATTAGGTTGTGTTTAGGTAAGGAAGTTCTGTGACGTCATTTGCAGACAGCAAATGGGTCATGGGCGGAACTTAACTTTACTAATTAACGTATATTACTCATTTGTTATCCAAATAGTTATACAGAGATATCCAAATAAGGTACATATTCTACAAGTAAATTATCATGACTTCATTATCAGGAGGATGTGGATTCACTTACCATTCTCAACTGCATGATGAACTGAACTCAACCACAGATCTAACACAGATCTTACACAGATCTAACACATCTCACAGAGAGTGTTTCACATCATGGTCGAGCACACTACACTCCTGGACTGCCCTGAAAAAATGTATGCGTAATGGTACGTTTAAGTTACAATAAGAATAGTTTAAATGTTCTAACAACCAAAATTATTATATCATAAACCATTATGGACCATTCCCTAGAATAGAAATTAAAATCCATTCTCTTCCTTGGATCAAAAGAACGATACTAAAAGCTGAAAAGGGGTAGATATTTCAGCAGAGACAAAAGCTTAATCGTGTGTTTTCATTGTTACAAAGCTTATTACATTTTTAATAACTGATCACGCACATGTTTAAAGTTTACTCTCTTGGGCGGAAGGTTTAATATGTCCTGCTAATTCTACATATTATACACGCACACAATGCAATATGCCATTGTTCCTTTGAACCTAGCGCTCTATATAATAGTCCATGTGTAGTTAATATGAGTTTTCATTATTATATCAGGAAATAACATTAATATCTACATTCTTCAAACATACTATAACAATTATTCTGTTTGATTATAAAGGTCAAAGTTCCCAGAATTCCGTCCTAATTCACTAAACAAACATCCCCCCCCCCCCCCCCCCACATATTTACACACAGATCATTTACATAGTCATAGTACATAGTACGGTGCAACAAATCTCCAGAGCTAACTAGACCGGTTGGGGCACATTCCTTGTTAAACATTCTACGATTACAGCAGAGAGATGTAGACCGTACCTGGCTTTACAATGATCCAGGGGGATAGAAAGTGTCCAGGTAAGTGATTCTGAGACTGCTTCTCGGAAATTAGAGCGAGAATAGAGGAATAATAATGAGTCATTTTTAGCTCTGTTGTCTATTTTACAACAGGAACCCCACGGTTTAGAAGATAAAAACATCAGACTTTTAAAAGTTTGACTTTGAATTTTTAACTTTCTAAATTATTGCCACTAAATCGATCCAGCATGAAGGACGAAAGTGTCTGAAATGGACATTGCTGAGCACAATATTGTTTTTTGTCTAAAGAGTCAGACCCCTACAGCCTACACTACACGATGCAGTTTAATTAGAGATTTTAATTGGAGATTTTATATCACCATCTAAATCGTTAAATCATCAGTGATAATCAATTTTATTTTCTGCCCATGTACGACGCAAGTCGCTCTGGACATTATGTCTGTCAACAGAAACCAGTTTTACAACAAAAAACCGGTTTAAAATTTCAGGGAAACAATGCTGAAGCCCAGACTCCATGTCAATTTTCCCTTATCTGGAAGCGTGGTGGGAGAACATTTCTCAGAGAACGAGTTTTAACTTCTTATCAAACCATCTGTGATGACGTCAGAATGACGTCACTCGGTCACATTTTCATGAGATCAGGGCATTTTTTAGAACTGTGAAGATATTATTTATCCTCAACCTCACAAATTCTCCGTCACAACAATTAAAGTACTTATTGACATGATAATTCATAATTGATAGCACCCGACAGTTTCGAAATTCTACACTCTCCCTCTACATCCCCCCACAAACTACACTATCATCGTGTGTCGTGTGTACTAACATATCCCGCCCTTTATTAATTGCAGCGAGTACCTACTTTATATTTTTCGAATACACATAAAAGGCTACGTAGTGCCCACAACGTATTGCCCACAACACCCACCAAGTGTTGACAGTCTTAATAAGTTACTTGACGTCCAACCCCTTCTTTCCGGAAAGTTCGATTTACATTGCCGGTGGTGGGTGTAAATTCCGGAAGGAGTTGTTTTAAATTCCGTGCTTGAAATAAAATGTTCACCTTTGTGAGTTAATAATGAATATGTGAGCAGCCAGCAGAAAGATGAGTGCCACTTTGCTCGCCAGTTACAAGCCGTGGATAAGACCATGGCGTGTGACAATTGCTTGAAATAATATGTCAATTTCAGTGAGTTCATGATTTTAATTGATATGAGCTCGCAGAGAAGTAATATTAATTCCAATTTGTTCGCCAGTTTCACTAATATTCACCATACATAAACCATGGCCGTGAATATTCTTATTATTAATTATTGTGCGCTTTATTTTAATAATATATAGCAGGGTAGCCAGATGAATGCCACCTTGTTCGCCTGTTACAATAGCCGACCCCCCGTACACTAATAATGGCTGGTACGTGAGAAAAGAGAATGGGCGTTCAACCTTCTAATTAAATTCTTAGCACAGGTTTAATAGCCACAGACTTAATTCATCGCCACTGCCCATTAAACAGCTGGTCCCGGCCAAAATTCCACCATCCTTCTATTCTTGTGACTATGAAACCTGAGAGAACTCAGCTGACAAAAGATAGGTCAGACCAAACGGTAAATTCCCGAAATTCCAATGTCTGTGCTAGCACGTGCTGTTCATGGTTTGTGCCTGGTTCACCCTGCCTGGCTGCCTACAGTTCCAGTACTTGACTTAAACTTCACAGCACCAGACCTATACTACTTAGAACACAATAGAGTTCCAACAATTAGACGTGTTGTTCTGAGTTCTCCCTTGCACAATTGGTGATGATGAACGAGCAGTATCATGTACGATGATCAGTGATCACGGTAGACACCGGCACTCATTTTGATTGGAAACTTCACCTTTCTTTAGATGGATCAGCAAGATATCAGGTACATTGCATGAGGTACTTGCACTTGAGACCTTGGGATCTCCGATTCATCTGCAATGAACAGTGGGAATCATTAATTGCGACATGTCTATACTATAATCTGATATTTTCGCACTGATTGCCTGGGATGTTCCATCTTTTGCTTTGGCAAACCGCAAATGGCAAAATGAAAGAAATATTCATTCTGGATCATCACTATAACCGGCTGGAATCTGGAATAATCCAAGATTTTGTGGAAGGATTTCCCAGACAACCGCCCCGGAAATGCTGTAAAAATTTGAACAATAGAACAATCGGTAACTTCAAAGAGTTACCAATGAAGGCCGAGGAAATATGTGTTTTAACACTAAAAGTGATATCATGTAGTGTGAAATAAAACTTAGAAAACGGAAAAACAAGCATGTGTTTCGCATGCAAGCTATTTCCAAGTGCTAGTTTTTTGGACCGTAAAAGAATAACCTAGAATAACTTAAGTACATTTCTACTATCTTAACAGGTACTGTGTCACGTGACCCAGCATTTGAGAAGTTGTAACAGGCACCATACAACCAGTTGCTTGCTAACAACCCAGTACTAGTGTATCTCTAAACAGCGTCAGGTAGATAGATACTAATAGTGTAGAATTAGAAACTAAGCTGCTGTTATGTCGTCCGGGAAAGCGTGAACATAACCGGTTGCTTGCAACCGATCCAGTGCTGGTGTTTCTCTATAATATGATATCAGCGCCAGATACAGTGGAGAATTAGAAACTAAGCTGATATTATAGTTATTATAACCGGAAAGCGTGAAGCAGCGTACTCAGAAACTCCTCGAAAAGTTTTAACATCTACTTTTAACTTTGACAGGTTTGCTCTGGGAAGAAGATAAAAACCTCCTGCCAAGATTATGTATCATAAGTAGAGCATGTTGGCTTCTACTCAGATGAATTAAAGTTCGACGCTCTCTATTATGATGAGTTGTTTTTATCAACCTTCTTATAAGGCATAAATGATACCACCACTACTTTTTTTTTTCAGCCAGAAAAACAGTCAATATGATTATCTATTATCGGGGATAGCTGAAAATGTTAAAATAGGGTACATGGTGACAGACAATCCAATCAAGCACTGCAGTGCACTGGAACCATGTACGTGACCCGAACTTTTTACACGAATCAAATTATCACAAACAGCTTCCTTAAGGGCCTAAACAACCCTCAATCTGATTGGTAAATTGAATCAAGTCTAAAAGTTCCAAGGTTATTTCATCTCAACAAAGGAGAAAACCGGTAAGTACACCCGGACCTAATTTTTCGTAATCTAGTGATCACCGAATAGAGTTACACATTACCAGGTAATTCAATTATATTTCTTCGCCAGACTAAGATCAACGGGGTCAAAGCGAGTGATGTCTCAATTCAAGATATCAGGAAATTGTAACCTTGAGATTCAGTGGTACGTGGTATTTTCCAAGTATTTTCTGTTTAAAATTCCGTTAAGGATCCCAGGCACATTCTCTATGCTCGATAAATTCCTGTCCAACAGGTTTCAGATCATTTTGTGACGAGTGTGACCAGGATTGCGAGGAAATATCTACACGCAGAGATCTAGAGACTCATATCATCCGGCTTCCCATAACTAGATCTGCACTCTGCAGACAAAATGTACATTGTACAAGTATAGTATGTAGTATAATGAGTATGACATAACTACTTCACTTAAAAGAGATATCAGATAATAGAAGAGATTAGAAAGCTGAACTCTCATGAGGGATAGTCCAGGTAGTAACAACTTTTAAACAGTGAGTTGTTTGGGATGTGACCACAGTAACCATAGTAAGTAACAAAGTGAGTAAACAGTGAGTAAACAGTGAGTAAACAGTGAGTAAACAGTGAGTAAACAGTGAGTTGTGACCACAGTAACCACAGTAACCACAGTAACCACAGTAACCACAGTAACCACAGTAACCATAGTAACCATAGTAACCAAAGTAAGTAACATAGTAAGTAAACAATAGTGATCTCGTAGGATCAGGAGCTGCAGTGGGATACATTATAATACAGTACGATTTTAGAAAGATCCAGAAGGAATCCAACAAGATATAGTGGGATCCAGTAAGTCACAGTGCCACTTCTGATTTCTTCAGAATTAATGCGTTGTCAACAAACCTTATGAGAGCGGTATGTACTCCTGCTTTCTTCAGAATTAATACTTGGTCAACAAACCTTTTGAGGGTCTAATCAAATTTATCCCCCTTATCAATAATTTTCTATGTACCGGTCATTTATTGTTTATTGAACTTCTTGTTTCCGAAACGTGTCAAGTGACCGGAAAATTAGGTAAAGTTCGAGCGTATCGGTTAAAAAAATGTAGCTTGTAATTTTTTAACACTCAAATCTCGAGTTTACCATTTTGGAAATATTAGGAATCTAAGCATTGTAAGTC